TTACGTTACGTATATTTTACCATGAGAAAATCAGGAAAATATAAAAAATAGAAGATAAAGATGTACTAATTCAATATACTAAGCTGAAGTTTAAGAAAGAAAGAATTTCCCAAATCTTCTTCCATGGCTTATTATTCCTAGGAGATTTGCCTCAAAATGAGGGTTTTGAGGTCATTTATTTATTTATCCAATATTTATTGGTCTCTGCCTGCAGCCTCTGTATTAAATGTTGAAGGCTAGGTCCAGACAAACCTGATGTGGTTCCTGTCTTTATCAATCTGACAATTTAGCAGAATAATATTCTTATTTATTGAATACCAAATATATAGCAGGAAACTTCCATTCTTTATTTCATTTCATCTTCATGAGGTGGATATTTTCATCACCTTATTAAAGATGGGGAAACTAAGGCTCAGAGAGCTTAAGTAACTTTCTCCAAGTTGACTCAACTAGCAACTTGGGTCTGCCTGATTCCAGAATCCATTTGCTTAACTGCTGGTTTATACCACCTGCATTCTTTTTTTTTTGAGGAAGATTAGCCCTGAGCTAACTGCTGCCAATCCTCCTTTTTTTTCGCTTTTTTTTTTTTTTGCTGAGGAAGACTGTCCCTGAGCTAACATCCATGTCCATCTTCCTCTACTTGATATGTGGAATGCCTACCGCAGCATGGCTTTGGCCAAGTGGTGCCATGTCCGCACCTGGGATCCAAACCAGCGAACCCTGGGCTGCCAAGAAGCAGAATGTGCAAACTTAACTGCTGTGCCACCAGGCCGGCCCCTCACCTGCATTCTTCTTTTAGGAGATCCACAATGCACATTGCTACATGAAAGTCCATGAGAAGTTCGGTAGAGAACCCTATTTAACTTGGTATAATTCTGCATATATCAAACATACTTCATTACATAACCTCTCCTTTCTTGGGTGATGGGAGCAGCACTCTTAAAAGTGAGCTGTGGACTCCTTCTGCAGAATATACCTACAACATCCAAGAGAATTAAAAATGTCTGGCTACACACAATCTTGTACACAAATGTTCATAGTAGCATTCTTCATAATAGCCCAAAGTGGAAACAACCCAAATGCCCATCAGGAACAAAATGTGGATAATTTAAATACAGTCTACCCATACAATAGAATATTATTTGGCAATAAACAACAATAAAGTACTGCTAGGTGGTACAACATGGAAGAACTTTGAAAACATTATGCTAAGTGAACAAAGCCAGACAGAAAGGCCACATTATTATAGGATTCCACTTGTACGAAATATCCAGAGTAGCTAACAGAGACAGAAAGTGGATTTGTGGTTGCCAGGGGCTGGGGGGAGGACAGGAAATGTGAGTGACTGCTAATGCATGCGAGGTTTCTTTTTGGGATCATGAAGTGTTCTGGAATTAGATAGTGGCAATAATTGAATAACTTTGGGACTATACTAACCACCACTGAATTGTACACATTAAAATGGTGAATTTTATGGCATGTAAATTGTATCTCAAGCAAAAAAAAAAAAAGAATACAACCACAGCTAAGAGTACTAGGAAGGACAGACCACTGGCCCATTGGTCGTGCAGCTTCATACTATGTCATTAGTGGAGTATTAGAGCTCCCTGGGGTTGCTGTCCTTCCCTCAATAGACACAACCCCCTAAATCCTAAGTAGAAGAACCCAACAGGTCCAGAGGAGTGAGGGCAAGCTTGGAAACTGAGCAGCATCAAAGTGTCTGCGCGGGTGGTATCACACGCATTGTTGGACTTTCATCTGCTAGGGTTGCTTAGTTAGCCTATTTTGACAACAGTCGAGAGGGCAAAGTTCCTAAACTTCTCATCACCGGAAGGGTTCAGTTCCATCAACTGATTATGCCATGTAGTTGGCAGGGAGGTCTCCTTTCATTTGAATGACATCGGATTCACCTGGATTTAAAGGAAGTATAAAACAATAAACCACTGAGATATAGAATTTTATAAGGTCGCATAGTCAAGCATGGCTTGATTGAGACTGCTGGCTGTCTCGCAATACCTGTCCTCCCCTTCTTCCCTGGAAATGACCACCCCCGACCCCCGCCTTCAGTGGTGCACACGATTGTCTGAAATAAAGGCTATATTTCCTAGTGAGATGTGGTTGTATAACCAAGTTCTGGCCAATGGAAAGTAAATGAAAGCAGTGTGAGCAACTCCATGGGAGTGTACTTAAAAATTAGGGGTTGGAGTGGGGCATGACCTTCTTCCTTCCTGGTGGCTGGCTTGTAGATTAGACAGCCAGAGTTCAATCAGCCATCCTAGACTATGAGGTGGAAGCTGAATTTGGAGAATAGGGGAGCAATAAGATTGAATTCTGGGTCACCAACCTCAAAGTGGCCACAGTCTGACAGGTACAGAAGACAGGTTTATAAGCTAATGCAGAATAAACACCACCACAAGGCCAAATCAGCTGCCCTTTCCTGTTCCTATGCCTTCAAATCTTAGAGTATGCTTTATGGAATTGTCGTAATAGCTCTTGAATGTTCATCTCCAAAACTTATGTGAAAAAGAAAGAAATTTCTATTTTTTTCAGCCACTGTTATTGCAATCTTCTATCATTTACAGTCGAACCGAATTCTAACTGATTCAGAATGTAAACTATTACATTCTGGGTTGGGAACTCAGGTCTCCTGAATCCAAGTACAGGACTATTTACTATGAAGATTATTACTATTAATAACAGAGCCAAAGTGTACTGAGTGTCTGGTATATAATAGTTGCTGATAATTTTGGGTGCTTACTATATGCTAGTCACTGTTTGAGCACTTTATACGTGTCATTAACTCACTTAATTCTCATGTCAACTCAGTAAGATAGATCTAGTATCATAATTTCATTTTATAGACAGAGAACCTGAGGTGCAGAGAGAGTGAATAACTTACCCAACGGCACATATTTAGTAAGAGGTAGAGCTGAGAATTGAACCCAGGCAGCCTGGTTCCAGAGCCTGCATCCTTAGCTCCGACATTACACCCTCTTACGATGTAGCTCCTGCTTATCCTTTATAACCGTTTTACCAAGGAGGAAACTGAGGCAGAAGGTTGTCTAATCATTTGCTTAAAATCTCGCTGCTAGTCAGTGGTGCAGCTAGCACTTGAAGCCAGACTCCTAACTCCCAATTCAGTGCTCTCTCCCCAGACCACCATGCAGTCTCAGAGGCCACCTGAACAGATACATAACCTCCTACTCCCACCTCCAGTCTCCCCTTCCAACACACATCCACACACACATACCCCACCCAGCAGGCACCCAGACATTTTTGTGGACAGGATGGCTACAACCTTCTTTGAAAAGCAGCCAGCTTTGCCTCCACCAAATAACTTTGTTTTATTTATAGTCTCCTGCTCAGAGCTTTTGAACTGGCTGCTCATTCCTACGAAGATCTTGATAACAACCCTTCCTTGGAGAGGGTTCATAGGAAACAAGGTGAATAAACACCACAGAGGCCCTGCCTGTTTAGCAGAGCTTTACTCCTGGGGGTGTTTATAAGTTGGTGTTGGTGTCTGAGTGCAAAAGACTTTGAATTCAAAATGGCAGTTTGGACGTTTTCATTTTTTTGTTTTAATTCAAAAAAGTTCACCCCTTGCCTTCAACAACCTTAAGGGCATAGGCAAAAGAGAGAAATGATCTTTATCCAGAACGTAACTCCAAAAGAAGGAGTTCTTGCTTTCTTTGCTCCCTGATGGGCTGGGGCCTAGGACTAGTTACTGCAGAGACCGTGGAGTGGGGAGACACATAAATTCAGACAATCCTGAATTTATAAGAGCTAAAATGGCAGAAGGGATGAATGACATTTCACAACAGAAAATTGTAAAACAAAACAAAAACGAAAAAGAAAAGAAAGAAAAAAGAGAAGCCTCATTTCAAAAGTAAACCATGAACCAACAGTGCCTTCCGACTCGTGGCCGAAGGTGCCATCCTAAAGCATAACTGTGTCACGTGTATCTGGAATTGTTCAGCCTGGATGCTAACCTCCACTCCATCAGTTGCTATTTATGCAACTACGAGTACATGCCTCATTTTCCTCTGTGCGAAATGGGGGGATAAACTCACAAGATTATTGTGAGGATTGGCGCTAACCATCTAGGGGAAACACAGGGCCTGGTTCAGAGAGGACATTCGCTAATGGTGGCCATCATGAGTGCTTCCTTTGGGACTCCTCCAGGCCTAGAGGGGATGATATTGGGGTGTTCATGAAAGTGAGCTCCAAGAGGGAGCAAAGGTAAGTAGTAGGTTAGTGATCTTGACTCTCAAATATCTTCATTTGCGTTGAGTTAATCTCTATCGGGGACTGTTACCGTGACATGAGCTTTCCGTATTGGAGCTCCCAAAATGGCTGATAAAGGGAGGTAGAGGTCCTCAACTGTGGGGCAGAGCAGAGCCACTAAATGGGTCCTATGAAGCCCCCAGGTGGCTTTCCTTTGGGTATGTCAGATCTCCTTAAAGGTCTAAGGGGAAAGAAAGGGGCCTCCATCAAGGACCATGTTGGGGAAGCGGATGATGTGATAGAGAAGAGGGTCTGCGGCTCCCTTAAGGAACTTACTGAAAGGTATGGGATTTTCAAAGGGAAAATTTGTGCTTCCATGGAGGTCTGAGAAGGAGACATTATCTCCAGGCCAGAGGTACTGGGTGGGAAGACTCCATAGATGAGGAATGGGTGAAGGTTTCTTCAGGCGAGCTCAGGGGGTCTCTACGGTACGTGGGTCTTTACTGAGGGGTTGTGAGTGGAAGTTTCTAACGAGAACTGTGCGGTACAGGTCTCCAACGCGCTGCACCCGGAAGACACAACGCACGGCGCTCTGGGAGTCGAACGAGCGGACGCGCCGTTCCCGCCCCCCCACCGCCCTCAGGCGGCCCAGCCTCCCGCCAGCGGACTACACTTCCCGGCAGGCCCCGCGGGCGGCGGCGGCGCGGGCGGGAGGGGGCGGCGGTGTGAGAGGCGGCGGGGGCGGACGCGCGCCGGGCACGCGCGCCGGCGACCATGGCGTTCGCCGGGCTGAAGCGAGTACATTAACCCCGGGAGGCGGCGGCGGCGAGGGAGCGAGCCTCGAGCGGGCGGGCCCAGCCTGAGGGAAGGGAGGAAGGGGCGGGGAGAGCGCCGGAGGGAGGCCGGTCGGCCGCGGGCGGGCGGGCAGCGCAGCGCCGAGCGGGGCCCGCGGGCCCATGAGGAGGCCCGGGGACCATGGGCTCCAGGATCAAGTGAGTGCGGCCGGGCCGGGCGGAGCCGGGCCGGGCGCGGGGCGGCGAGGCCGGGCAAGGGCTGCAGGCCGCGGGCCGCGTGGGGGACTTGTTGCCGGGACCCCAGGGGCGCCCCGCGTGCTGGCGTCACCCGGGGAGGGGGACGGTTGCCATGGCGATCCAGGGAGGCGCGGGCGCGAGGTGGAAGGGCGCCGGTGGTCAGGTGTCCCCTCCTCACCTGAGAGCGGCAGCAGCTGAGATTACAAGGTGGCCCTCTCCCCCAGGTTACAGAGAGCCTCTGAAAATGGTCATACAACTGTGGGGGGAGGGCGAGAAATCTCCGGAAGCAACTCCCCAAATGGGTGTGTTTGGGGCGCCCCTGAGAGTTGGCCAGGTCCTGAGAGGTTGCAGTCTGGCTGCTTAAGGCCTGCGGCCCCCACAAAAGTCGCGTGAGGTTCTCAAAGGGAGGGGCCGTTCCTGGACTTAAGGTCTGGACGGCCTGGGGAGGAAGGCCCTTTTCTCTTTCCTCCTCTTTCCTCGTCTTATCTGTGAAAGTCTCCGCACAGCAAGGGCCAAAGGCTATGAATGCAGATACCTCTGTGCTGTAACTGAACACCTGATCTTGATGATTGTTGGAAAGGCTTTGTAATTCAATCTGGCAAATTCCCTCACTCATTCATTCGCTTGGAGTCCCCGGTGGGGCGTTAGTTTTCCGGGGAAATTGTTGATACATCTAACTTCAGAACACATTGAAACATTGTTGCCCTACTTCTAGATCTAGAAGTTGACTTTGGAAAGTGCAACTTTTATGCAGTCCAATTTGGGTGTGTTGCTTTGTACTCTATCTCCCCTCCCAGCTAGGTCCTCTTTTGGCCTCTCCCTTCCTCAGCTCCAGAACATGAGATGCTTTATCTCTAATCACTAACAAATGTTCACTTTTCCTCTATGAGTAATAGAATTGTTTAAGGGCACTTAAAGTTGACAGCATAGGCTTTTCCATAAAACAGCTTTCCTAGGACACTTTAAACCTACTTACAAGAAAGTCTGTGGAATGTGTTTATATCAGCATTTTGAGAATTATACTAGGGAAGTTTGAAAGAGGAAGGGCCTTATGGATGAAATCTAATAATTATTCACATGTTGCATCTCATGTCTAGTCCATGTCCGTGCAGTGTGATCTTTGCCCAGCCTTGTAGTTCCCTGACTGGCTTAGGCTTGTGTTCACAAAATGTGTCTAATATGTGCTTAGGAGCCCTGTCTGCTAAAGGAAACTAGAAAAGTTTGCTTATGATAATGAAAATGGAAGAGTTGGATGAGCACACTGTTAGTTCTTTATTTTTGCGGAAATGAGGGGAAAAAGTTAGAAGCATGCTCCAAGTAAGAGCTTAAGAGGCTTGGACAGTAAAAAGACGAAGCATTGGGATTAAAGAGGCACTCCAAGTTTAGCTCCTGCTTCCAAGTAAGAGTTGTAAACTTGGATTTCAATGGCACTTAGAAACACTTTCCAGAAGCCACCTTAGAGTCGCAGAGTATGCTTGTGAGGATGCTTACCCTTCTCGTTACCGAGAAGTTCAGAAACTTGCCTGATAGGAGGCAGTCAGTGTCAGCACCAGCATGAAATTCCAACAAGTAGAAGTTCAGATGACTAGGCAACAGGTCTCTGTCTTGCTCTTGAAGACTGCAGGTTGACAAATACATTTCTCAAGTGTGCTTTGTGGATGCCATCACCCTAATATCTGAGCACTTGGGCAAGAGAACTTTAGTAACAATAAATTGTATTGAGCGTGAAATTAGTGTAAAGAATAGCCTTCAATAGCCTTCTAGATCTTGAAACTAGACTGTGATAAAAACTTAGGCTTGGGAAATGTTAGCTTTACTTGTGGTGAAGCTAAAAGAGAACATGAAGAGAGAAGTTAGGAAAAGTAGTTGTGATTTATGGTGTCTGTTGACTATGCCACTTCTGCCTGTGCTGGGAATGGGGGTCAACAGGTGGCGAGGAAACCATCCACTTAAGTGCTGCCCTGGTTGTTGGAGGAAACAGAACTTTCGTTACTACTGACTGTTTCATCTTGATAGGAAAGTACAGACTTAGCTCAAGGTGTTCACCTGGCTGAGGTGAAATCTAAGTATGCAGGCTCCATTGTGTCGAACAGTCTGGGGATGTGGGCAGAGGGCTCTCTGGGGCCCGTCTGAGCAGGACAGCTCTATGGTTGTGGGTGTTTTTTTCTTGCTTATCTCTGATGCTATGCGGCCCAGTCATGCTGATGATATGGAATCAGATCTGGGCTCAGATTCTTGCTCTTTTGTCTACTGACTATGAAACTTTGCACAAGGTGCATTTTTCACCTTCAGTTTCCCTGAGGGTAAAATGGGGAAGACTGTATGTTGCAGGGTCGCTGAGAGCAATAAATGCCATATCAACGTGACTGCCGGGCCCATATTAAAAACAGTAATTGTTCCTTTTCGTTTATACCTTGTCTATCAAAAGACTAAGAAAACAGTTATATTTTATATTAGAAATGTTAGAGAACTGTATGTTCAGGTAATGGAGAAAAAAGTTTTGATGATCAAGGAATTAGGCTCCTAATGTACAGAGCAGGACTTAATATTCTCTCATTAAAAAATAAAAGTTGATTGAAAACAATACTCTAATTGTGAAGCTGGTGTCTGTTGTATGATCATTAGTAAAGCAGGTGAGTTGCTAGGCACAGGTGTTGAGATGTAGTGCTTGATCAGACTTTTCAGACTCAGGCTGGTTGAACAAGTCTCTGTCAGGCACCATGGTAGTGCTTTATGGGAACCATTTCATCAAATCCTCACAACTGTCCAATGATGTCGGTACTATTAACTATATTTTTCAAATAAGAGCATGGGAATTTATAGGCCTGAGATCAGATGCCAACCCCAGGAAACCTGCCCTGATTCCACCCCCACCACTCCCTATCCTAGGCCAGGTGCCCCTCCCTTATCTATGCATCCCCTCCCCAGCCTAGGCCAGGTGTCCCTGCCTCCTGTGTGCCCCTCCCCCCCCCCAGCCTAGCCAGGTGTCCCTCCCTCCTCTGTGCACCTCCTCCCCAGCCTAGGCCAGGTGTCCATCCCAGATGTATGCATCCCCTCCCCAGCTTAGGCCAGGTGACCCTCATTTGTGTTTCTGTGGCCCCTTGTGTTTATCACTGTCATAGAACTAAACCCAGTTCCTTGACTATGTCCTGTACTAAGCGCAACATATACTTGAGAGCAGGGACTGTCTTGTTTGTCTTTGAGTTCCCTGTGTCAAACCTGGTACCTGACACATGTGGTTGTTGAGGGAGAGTTTATGGGATGCATTTAAGAAATATGTTAGGATTTGAATTAAGATTCTACCTAAGGCTGTGAGTTGAGTGTACATAGAGTTAAAAAGAACAATTTGCTACTTGAACTCTTGAGGAGGAAGAGTTTTTATGTTTTATAAGTTTTAAAGCCAAATTGCCCTAGTCTAGGCAGACAGTTTCTTATTTTTTCTAGTGTTTAGTTCTTGTTCATTTTAATAACAGAACGTTGACTTGCCTCAAACCAAACATGTACTTGACAAGAGGAAAGAAGCGGTCACCAGTATGCAGGTAGCACCCTGGAAAGCTGCTAAACCTTAAACCTGGGCAGACATCTATTTATTTAGAGGGATGAAAGTAGCAGTGGTAACTGGCAATCTTTGACAGGTATGTTTAAATCTTATTTAGTGTTTGAGGGATCCCAGTGGACTGGAGTGTGGTTAATATGAAACAATTTAACTGATAATGCAGACACACAGCAGGAAACTGTGGCAGTTTAATATTGCTTGTGGTGACATCCTAGAAATTGTTTCCAGGCACTAAGGGCAGGAAGTGGATTGTAAGTAATCGAAGGAAGTATTCTAAGTGAGTTTGAAGAAACCTGACATTTATGGACTCAGAGGAAAGCATACTCAAAGATTTGAAGGCAGAGGAACAGGACGGGGCAACTGATATGGCCTTATGGTGGTGTTTATCTGCGTTGGCCTGTATACCTGTCTTCTGTCTCTGTCAGACTGTGACCTCTTTGAGGTTGGTGACCAAGAAATTTATCCATTTATTCATTTACTCACCTACTGTAAAACTAAGAAGAGCGTCAAGCACATATTAAATACTCAATACATAGTGGTCATTATTGTTATCACATTGAGTACTGGTACTATATTATGTGCCTAGTAGTGTGTTAAGTACTAGGGACACTAAAATGAAAAGAGTTTTCTTCCCTAAAGGCTTTCCAGAGTAGTAGTGATTCAGAAATGTAAAACAAAGCCAACTTTCTCCAGGCTCCCTCCCCACCAAAAAACTGGAGTATAATACAGTAAGAGGCTTGCTATGATGGAGATGCAACCAGTGATGAATAGGGGAATAAGTGAAGGAGAGACTGTCCTCCGAGGAGGGGTTAAGGAAAGAAGGCTTCATCAAGACAGTGATGTTTTAGTTGAGACAGGAGAGTAAGGGATAGAGTGATGGCAGAAGGAGTAGAGGCTGTGGTGGTGGTGACGGTGGTAGTGGTGGCAGCAGTGTTAGTAGTCTCAATAGAGGGAGAAGTATGTGTTGGGGACATGGCATATTAAGGAAATAAAAATATTAATTACCATTTGTTAGATGCTTAAATGCCAAGAATTGTCTTAGACACTGGGAATTATAGTTGTGAATAATACATACTGTTCATTCCTACTCTCATGGAACTTAGAGTTTGGTGGACCTGACAGATAAAAAAAAAACCAGATTAGTTCATGTAAAATTGTGTGATGTGCTATAAAGGAAAGAAGATGCTGAGGGAGAATGATGAGAGTGCCTGTCCTATTTTGGATAGAGTAAGTAGAGCTTACTGTGGAAATGACATTTGAGCTGAGACTTAAAGGTTAAGTCGTTAGTCATGTAAATAGTGGGCAAGACTTTTTATACCAGGCAGAGAGTAGAGCACATACAAAGGCCTCGAAGCAAGAAAGCACTAGGCATATTTCAGGAACTGATAGAAGGCCAGCAGGTTCG